GGAAAAAATCGAACAACCCCTTATTTTGTAAGAAATTCTTTGGTGCAATTTATTTTTATTTTATATAGTTATTTTACAAATAAAACAGGTATAACCAAAGTTTTGATATTAAAAAAAAAAATTCCATAACTTATTCTTATAGCCACATATAGAATAACCAATGCTTGAATTAGGGGGTGCGTAGGGGGATGGAGTTCCTCTACTAATTTTTTTATTTTTTTATTTTTTTGTATATCCCAACTATATTTTTTTACTGGAACGGGAGGATGACATAAACTAATGTCCGAAATAATTTTTATTAAAATGTGGATTTCAATATTTGTCAATTATATAACGAATTTTACTATTTTAAATTTAAAAATTATTTTTGAAATTAGTTTGATATTAACATCTTTTCTATGGTCCTATATTTTTTTACCATGTAGTAGGTATATCGATTTTTTGTCACGCGATACCACAATAATCAAATGAAACCGCAGTTGAATTTATTTAACTAAACTTTTAATCATGTAGTTACCATAAAGTAATTACTCTATGATGATTACATACATTATCCCCAGAAAAGCGATAACAAAAAAAAATAGTAAAATATTATCATCAGGGTCCAATATTCTGATATTTTTTATTTTTTACTACAACATGTAGGATGTATTGCTATGTATTGCTATCAAAATATATTTGGAATTTTAATATTTGTAGTTGAAAAGTAGTATTCAAAATGTTGGTAAGGTGAAACGGGGTGAAGGTGTGGAGGTTAAATCCCTCCCTTGGGTCTGTGTTAAGTGATTGTGCTTTTGAACACAGTTTTTAAATCGTTGGATTTAGCTCCTCTACTTAATTTTTCTCAATTCGAGCACTGAGAATAACACCTCGTGAAGTTGGCCATTCTTTTCTGGAACACTCTGTATATACTAAGTTGTTTCTGTTTTTCCAATAGCGTCAATAGTTATACACTATCTATGTGTATTTAATCAATACTTAAAGTTTATTCTGAGACTGCAATAGAAATATAAAACGTCAAAACGATAACGTGTACACAATAGTATTATACACTATACAGTGTATATAATACGCATGCATTTGATAGCTGCAGCAAGCAGGGATTGAATTTTTGTTACAAGTCTAGGTCAATGGTTTATAATATGCTTTACAAACCTTTGAAGTGTACGCTATAAAATAATATACCTAATGCATTTTGTCTTGATTTTCTTGAAATATGCCCATAAAAATCAAGTACCTATAATAATTAATAAACGCCCAAAAATTAAAAACCGTAAATAGTGTAGAATACGCAGACTAGAAATAATTAAATTATTATTAGGTGAGCGTGATTTATTATTTTTAATTATTACGGCTTATGTTTTCTACCATAAATATTACTCCAATAGAAAAACAAAAAAAGAACTTATTTGATGCACCTTTAACCTAGTTGGTGACCAAGCAAGTCGATTTTTGATTTTCTTTGTAGTTCTTTTAATAATTGAGCAAAACCGAAAAAAACTCAGAAAGAATGCGAAAATAATACTATAATTAAATTTAATTATAAAAGACTATTAGAACAATTTTTGTATTATATATGGACTGTATTATTGTAAATAGTTATTCTTTCGTTTTAGTTCTGGTGTGTTGTAATAGTTCCGTATTAATGTTGTCTGATCGCGGAGCTGTATATGTTTTCATAATTATTAGTGCATATTCAAATTCCTATCTCATAATAGTTATTTTATTTCCCTGTGAGTCTTAATTTCCTTACCATTGAATCAGAGAATCAAGATCGAGACTATTATCTTCGTATAGAGATTTTATACATTGTTTCCATCGGTCAGCTATCTTTTCTTCAATTAGTATATTTTCATTTTTGTCTTTGATATGTGTAGATTTTATTTTTCTCTCCCCAAAAAATGTTTTCATTGTTTTGTAGGGTTTTTTTGTTAGTATTTCTTCTTCGTGATCTCTATTTCTTAACATTATGATTCAATCCATCGTTCCTTTGTTCTTCTTGCTTCTCGATTAATTTTATTTTTTAGTGATCTATATTTTCTTATACTATCTGGATCATTTTTGTTTTTATTATTGATTATATGTTGATTTGTCTATTTCTGTAAGGGGTTTTGGTTTTTCATTTCTAAAAAGTTTTCTGCTGTTAAGGAGATGGATTCTTTTATACATGTCCACTGATCATCTATAGAAGTTTTATTATTAGTAATAATACTCTAAGCTTGATAATAAGCTTAAAGTTCATTTCAAAATGATCATCACTTTTATTTTTATATTTCTCTGCTATTTTTGGTGATTTTAATTTTTCTAAGCTCCATTTGTGGTACTTCTTATTTGGCTTTTTTAGTTTCCTGAATTTTAGGTTGTATCTCATCATTACAAGATTGTGGTCGCTGTCAATATCAGCGCTTTGATATGCTTTACACAATTTGATTTGATTTTTAATTTATTTTTAACCAGGATAAAATGTACTTGAAATCTTCCAATATCTCCAGGCATCTTCCTTGATAATATTGGAGATAATTAACTCGTTTTGCCTACAAAATTCTAGAAGTCGATCACCCCTTTTGTTTCTTTTTCCTAATTCAAATTTTTCCACTTCCTTTCAAACTACGATATTGTTATTTACAAACTAGGCACACATCCCAGTCATGCTAAATCAGCAGATAATTCGGCAAAATGATTCAGCGAAATATCTAAGAATGCACCTTGACTAACGATACATTATATACGCCAGAAAAAGTTGCAAATCAAACAAAAAATGCACAAACTGTACTGGGTAGTTAGACGGCATTCAAAGCTAGACTTAACTAGCAAACGTCTCTTGTATGTATCGATTTTCAAACCGATTTGGATTTATGGTATTCAACTGTAGGGTTGTGCCAATAAGTCCAATATTGATCGAAATAATACAACAATGCCAGAGCATCGCTTTTCGTATCATTTTCGCAGCATATCAGTATGATAAGAACAACATCATCCATCGTGATTTGAAAATGTTATCCGTGCAGAATGAAATTACCTAGTTTGCTTTCAAACATACAAGGAGACTGGAGCTTCATACAAATACGGCTGCCATACAACTCCTCACAACTCACAGGACATCAGACGTCTCAAACAACTGAAGCCATTTATAAGAACATTTATAATTAATGGTATTTTGTATGTATATATATATATAATATACATGGTCGGCTATTCTGCAAAACCTCCCAAGTCGAATTTCGGACATATTTTTTTTGTACATTATCTGTCAAAGTTTTTCACTTCTTCTGTAAAACTAAAAGAAAACCAACTTACGAGGTTTTTTAGGTAGCCGATGATAAGATGCAAAATAAAACTTAACTTTTAGATAGAATTTAGATATTTTTATTCCAAGCTGTAAGGAAAAATAATTACGTACTTGTCGCTATATTTTGTGACAGTGGCTTATCAAGATTTTTCAATAGGGGAAGGGATAAACAAAAACTTAACTAAAACAAAAATGTTTTAGAAAATACATTATGTACTACAATCATTTTTATTTAGTAGTTGAATTCGTGGTACAAAATATACAATGAAATTGTTTTATTTGTAACAATTGGTTAATGCTAAACAGTTTATATTTTTTCTGTATTTGACATGACTCAATAGTAAGACTAAATCCTCCTATATCACCTTCTGGTTACGCCACTATCTCGTGGTACCTAAATATAGTCAAAAATCCATCGTGATGTGTGATAGACAAAAAAAATATATTTCTTATGATTGGTCATATAAATACATATTAATGAGGTAGTGAATATTAGAATTAAAAAAATTAAAAAATGTCCAAAAGGGGAAAGGGGTTGATGAGACGTACGTACAATATTTGTATTATAATTATCGAGTTTCATCCCACCGACAAAATGACCATGATACCTCAATTAGAAAAAATTTGCTACCAAAAAGTAACCCTAAAGTTGGTTATCGAAGCATCAAGATTTCTGAGAGATAAGTTGTTCACGTGAGGAAAAAAAGCATAAACATAGTAAATCCATTACATTCCTCACTTCATGCAGAATCTAAACTATTTCTATTATGTATGAAACACACGAATAAGAAATAATATAGTATTTAGTATAAGAATTCTATTAATTCAGAATAAAAAATTCTATATTTATAATCTAAGTGAAATAGTGAATACAGTAGTTTATCTGAAACAGCTTAGTGACTAATATTACATTTATATACCTATATGTATGATATTTTATATAATATATACATTATACAATTATGTTATATTTGTAAATTTGTAGATTTTGTAACCATACGGAATTTTAATTGAGCTATTTAAGTATTTGCTGCATAAATCGTGCTGTCACTGCATCCATGTAATGTCATTATTATATATTGTACTTTATCTGCAAAATATATATGCAAACACAGTCAGGAACGAAATTAAATTAGTTTATTTTCCTAGAGTTTTTTTTTTTTGTCATATAGGCTATTATATTATAATATATACATTCTATATTAAACTACTAATTGTTAATTTATAATTTTTCTCATTAGAATTATCTTATAAATTATAATATTCTGCAGCGTGTCGGTTCGATTTGAAATTGTAAAAACTAATTATTCTCTAGTATAAACTCGTACTGCTATTATTTGACGAACATATTATATAAATTATTTACAAATAGTACTTTTATTTTTATTTTGCGATTAAGAAGTGTGTTTCGGTGTAGTGTCGTTTAATATCGCGTAAAACTCGCTATTTATCAAAAATGAATAAAATATTTGAAATTTTATGTTACTATTAGTATTAGTATTAGTATTCGCGCGTGTTTTCCCCGCACTAGAATTCATTATTGCATTATTAAACTTTAATATCTAAATACAATAACAGCGGTCATATACCCAACGTCCTCCAAATTGAAATCCACAGAGCTCTGATGTTAAATGAGGCGATAAATATTCGAGTGGGGTTAGGTTCAAATATCTTTGATGGCGGCCGTAATTAATATACTTTCGTGATTTATACCTTTTTTATTTGTCATTGCACTTCACAGTCGGACGCAGCAGCCCAGAATATGGTAACATTAATATTATTGAAGACCACGACGTTTGAAGAGTATAAAGCTGGAAACTGCCTTTGACAGAATTGCAGCATCGATAAGTACAAAATATTTTAAGTATTCGATTTTGGTAAGAAACACTAACGTTAATTAATTCTAACAATAGTCTTTTTTATATTATAAGCAGGTACTAGGTACTATTATATTTGTTTATAATTTTTAATTTTCTAAATTATTGTACCAAATATTGTATCATTCAAAAATTGATATTTTTATAGTTTGCAGTTTTTTTATGAACACTGAAATCAATTTAATTAGGTATATGATTCCGAGTATCTATATAATATTGTCTTTTACTAGAAAAAAATATATCATTACAATGTATTTTCAGCGGCTTCAAAATAATGCAGTTTCTTTTAAATGTTTATTATTAGCACTAACACCTAAAGTTATCTACGACCTCCAATTATATTCCAATAATTATTTCTAGAATACTAACATTAATAAAACCTACATTAAAATGGATACCATCAAAGAGAACTACAAAAGCTTAACGTATACGTGGACCAATGTCAATGTACACACGAGAAATATTAATAATATCCGAACGGCTTACGACACCCTAATGACCTGTTTCAAAGCAAAGAGTTCATTTAAGGAGTCACAAGGAAAACAATTATTGAAAAACGGTGAGCGCCTAAGTCGTCGAATTAAATTGAATATTAAATCCAAATGACTTACATGCCATCGTTATATGCTTTATTATTTTTAAAGTAACAAAATATACTGCAGCTTATTTGCTAACCCTTCCTCCCATTAACATTTTCTAGATATCCTATTTGTTGTTTTTACTATTTTTGTTTTCAATTTTTTTTGTCTATACACATTATCTATCTTTACTATTTGGATTTCAGTGAGTGGTTTGGCACAACCCGGTGAATTATTGGCAGTGATGGGTTCCAGTGGTGCAGGAAAGACGACCCTGTTGAACTTTTTGACATTCAGGAACGCTCGGAACTTGACGGAGACTGGCATAAGAGCCATCAACAATGTGTCCATTGACAGCGAATGGCTGACAGCCGTTTCCGCGTACGTCCAACAACGCGACTTATTCATGGGAACCCTCACCGTTTGGGAACACTTGATATTTCAGGTATGAACCACACATGATCACTTGAATAATTTAGCATGAATAAAGTATCTAATACATTTCAACTTTTGCTATAGGCATTAGTACGAATGGATAGACGCACGCCGTACACGGAACGAATAGCTCGAGTCGAAGAAGTCATGAAAGAGGCGAGCTAAAAAAAAAATTTAATTATTATTCACGATACAGACATATACATATGACCTATATAATTCGTATTTTGTGTGAATCAGATGTTATTGACAAAATGCAAAAACACTGTCATAGGAGTTACCGGACAAATGAAAGGATTATCCGGTGGTGAAATGAAACGTCTGTCGTTTGCTTCCGAAGTAAGATTGAATAGTAGTTTAAATAGCTATAATACTATAATATAAATACTATAATGTAAATTGAAAAGGACGGTAAATATTTTGTAGGACAATGTGAATACTTAGCATTAAAAACAAATTTAATAACATATAATTACTAACTGAGTTGCATTTTCCTTTAACAGTACTTTCGTTGAATTCTTACTGCTGTAACGCAAATCGAGCCCAAAAGCAATGTGCAATAAATTGTGAATTAACGATTTAAACTAAACGGGGAACTTAAGTTTTTAAAATAAAATGGTAACTCATTAGTCATTTATCAATTTTGTTTAAGTATGAACGGGTAAAGGGGCTTTTACTAAAAAAGACCTTAGAGAAATAATATATAAGATAAGTTTACTGAATTTTTAAATTTCACATAAGTGAACAATAATAAACATGATCATAACTATGGCTCATAACTTTAAAGAGTTTACATTTTTTTTTTTAGTGATCTTAAAGATACTTATGTGAGCTATAAATTTGTTTCAGGAAATCACGAAGGTAAATTTTTCGTTTTTTTTATTATTATTAAATTTATTCGTAAATACGAATATTACATATTTTGAAGTTTAAGTGCTGTTTTACTTATTTATGTGTTAATCACTATTTCAGTGTGCCATTTAAGTGCTTTTTTTTATTTTTATATCTTATGCGCTATTTCAATACCGTAAGCTTCAAGATATATTTAATAATAAGAATAATTTAAACAGTGTTGAATATATTTATGTTCTATTAGCGTCTGTTGCACATTAATTAATCATTTCATAAGGAAACCTCTACAACTGTATCACGTGTATTTTATTTTTATAGTTTATAGGTATTCTGATATCAATATATTTTTGTATATTTCTTTATTTTTAGTACATATTTAAGCGCTTATATACATGTTTTAGATTCTGAGTGAAGCGAGAAATGTATTTGTATTACAATGATGTTAATAATTTTTTTTCTACCAACAATTTTGCTCCCATTTTCAATGATAGCACATTTTTTAGAGAAAATCTAACTGGTGTGGTACTTTAATGAGACCATTTTTAAATTTCCCCTGCTGTTTTTACAATAGATGGAAAAAACCAGGAATAAACATGGGAAAAATCGGAAAAAAACATGGGAAAAAAAGGAAAATAAGTACAATATTAAATAAATATTATTAAAGAAAATATATAATGAAAATATTATGTAATTATTTTACCATAATATGACATACATGTGAAACCCTTGATAAAGCAACACTATTAATCGAACTCCGCTCAGAATCGTTTTTCGTTAGTAATGGATAATCGTTGCCTACATTAAATTTCCCCTCTACCTTCCTAACTTTTCATCTACAACAATGGTCCTCCCATGAGTGAAGTATGTTTAAGTGCATATTATTTCGCTTGTGTAACAACCTTTTTTAGAGTTGCAAGTAACTTTTTAGATTCCAGATTATAACCGTTTGTTTATGTACTATCTAATTTCGTAGTCATATTTAATAACACGTATCGTTACTGGTTGTCGGTGTATAGATTTTGACAGACCCGCCTTTAATCATCTGCGACGAACCAACGTCGGGACTAGATTCATTTATGGCACGAAAAGTAATCAATATACTCCAGACGATGGCTTTGAAGGGCAAAACGATAATTTGCACAATCCATCAGCCGTCATCAGAAGTGTATCACATGTTTGATAAAATACTGCTGTTGGCCAACGGGCGGACCGCTTTTTTGGGCGCACCAAATGAAGCCATCGAATTCTTCAATAGGTGTATAATATATGTATAATAATAATATTAATATTATATAATATTTAATCATTTTTAACGTGCATACGTTCAAATAAATTGTATTATAATAGATCAATGTAGTCTTGTACTCTTATAGAAATATTTTATTGTCTCTATTACATCAGTTATCGAGATTGAAAGTTGTCACTCCGCATAAATACACATTTACAATTAGGACTGTAAAATTAGTTATGTTTATTCCACGACAGGCTCGGTGTATGTTTTCCGAACAATTATAATCCGGCGGATTTTTTCGTTCAGCTCTTGGCCATCGTACCAACACGAGAACTGAGTTCATACGAAACAATCAATACGATCTGCGAGGAATACAAAAACTCACCGTACAACAAATACTGTACGATGAACCACCAAAATATGAATTTGTATCCAACCAAAGAGGTGTTTATTTATTAATACAATATTATAGTCTTTTCTTAGCGGTAATTGCGACGGTTTTGTTTATTAGCTCTCAGTGGATTGCAGTCGTCGATGTTCGAATGGTCCCTATAATATTTCGTCTCTGTACAACGCCTCGTGGACCGAACAATTTTCAGCAGTCTTCTGGCGGTCGTGGCTGAACGTCAAAAAAGAACCGGCACTCATCAAAAGCAGGATTTTCGAAACGATGGTAAGTCAGTTATCAAACATATACATATTTATTATTGACTTAAACCTTTCCTGTGCACACAGATAAAAGCCGCTCTGGTGAGTACAATTTTCTATAACGAACGTTTTGATCAGGACGGCGTGATCATCATTAACGGAGCTCTCTATTTTTGTATGAGCATGATGACCTACCCGAACATATTCATCGTTATCAACGTGAGTACCATCTTAACAGGGACGGCACGAGGGGTAGGGGGCAATCGGGGAGTTTACCCCGGGCCCCGCGATTTTAAAATTATAATTAAGGCCCCGCAGTTCTGAAATGATTTCTACTGTTCAAAGGTTTTACTAAATTTCCAAAATTTTATTTATTGAAAATATAATTCGTAATAAATTATTTTATATAAAACAATTTTTATTGTTGAAAATAATTCTTTATACTGTGAATCGAATGCGGAATAGTTATTTTTAGACGTCAGTCGTGACGGCCTTATCAGTGGAGGCGACTAAGTATAGGGACTAGTACTAGTACTAAAAGTATAAGGAAGTATGATGTACTATTTTTAATACTTTTATATACATTTCGGTTTTATACGATAATCAATATTATACTATATATTACACCACCAGCATAGAGTAAAGACAAGTATGACCACTAGTGTGCTGCGTGTGTCTGTGTGTGTTTTTGTCTTTCGAGCATTTGAGTTGGTACGCTGGTTATATGATTTTTCTTACAGTGTTATTAATGTGTAATTGAAAGATTATTCACGATTATTATTATTTATTCACAGATAATTTTTACCTTCATATAATTATTATTTTACATTTCCACGTAATATGACTAGTAGACTGTGATAAGTTTCGAAAGTATAAGAGTGGTAATGACAAAACAAAATTAAAACAAAATTAAACAAAAATGAGACAAATTTTTAAAATTGCAACAAGGATCTTTTGAGCGATTTCTTAAGAATGATAGAAATAACAAGGTATAACAGGATAACTATTTTACATTCTATACAGTACTTTTACTATATTCAGTTCAGATATATGATTTAATTACAATTTTTCTATAATTAATTTTTTAATTTTTGTTTATTTAATAAATTGTATACCATTATCATCTATACCAGTAAAATTATATTATATTTTATTTATATTTCAACGTTTATAAACATTGATATCATGAAGTTGTGAATTTATTGGTCAATTTCAGATAGATAGTAAATGAAGAAACCACTCTTCTTGAAGCTATGTTAATGGCAAAATATTCTTTAGAATGTTTTCCAAATATTAGTTTTTCTCTGAGAATTTTACTGAAAATACCAGTAACTTTGGTATGTGCCGAGAGAAGCTTTTCGAAATTGAAATTAATTAAAACATATTTGAGAAACAAATTAAGTCGAGAAAACTTTTCTGGTCTTTCAATAATTTCAATAGAAAAAAATATTTCTAAATCTAGATTATAATAATATCATAAATCAGTATGCTGCTAAAAAATCAAGAAAAGTAATTTTTTTTAAATATTATTTGTATGACTGATGTAATCAATAATTTTTATTGTTTGTTAATATTGTTTTTTCTGTTATATTAATTACATTTTTAAATTTATTAAAATATAATGTATGTGTATAAAACGATGGTTGATATTTGATAAAATTGGTTTAGTAAGTACCTAGTTCATTTGGCTATGTAATTAAATTTTCGAGCGGAGCGTGTACTTATAGTATTTAAAAGATCACACATAAACTGTTATTTACTTTGCAGAGGGCCCCGCAAATCCTAGCGCCGTCCCTGCACTTTAAACTTACAGTGATTTTCTGATTTTAGACCACTAATCTTATCTAAAATTGTTATCATATCACTCAGGAGTTTTGTTCAGAGCTACCAGTGTTTATAGCCGACCACCGTAACGGATTGTACCGAACGGATGTGTACTTCTTGAGTAGGACTTTAGCCGAAGTACCGATATTCTTGATGATACCGATACTGTTTACGTCTATAGTTTACTACATGATTGGCTTGAACCCGAAATTTGAACATTTCCTTACAGCTATGTTGTTCATGACGCTCGTCACTCAGGTGGCCGTTTCGGTGGGTAAGGAAATTTTAGCATACCAATTTATATACGGATGTCTGCATATGAACCTAATAATATTATTCTGAACTCTGTTTAATAATGGCAAAAAAATCCCACAAATTTATGGAAAAAACATTTTATTATTTTTGATTTTTTCAATTTTGCTTTCCCACCAAACATTATCTTGCTCCGAAATTTAAATGTAGTATCTTTCTTGAAAGAAAATTTTATCTAGTTGATGCAAAGAAGGTCCAAACATCGCCCAGAATCGTATTTCGTCAGTAATGATTTATCATTCCATTAAATACTCTAAATAAATACTACTGCATACGGATATACATTAAACAACTTTACGAGTATGTATCTTAATACCTTTTTTTATTTTTAATATTTTCATTGAAGATTATACGTAACATTCAGTATTTATTATAATTTTTTATTTGGATTTAAAAATATAAGAAACATTTAGTACGCAAATAATTTTAATTACTCACAAATTTTTATTTTTTAGCAAATAAAAATTAATCTTCAACGATAAATATAATTTTAAATAATAGAACACATATTATAATAGGTTTCCCGCAGGTCTATTTCTGTGAATATTTATAGGTGTAAAGTATATGTCAACATTTTAATCAATATAACTATAGGTATCCACCATTTACCTTACAGATTTCGAGTAATTTTAGATTCGGAGCGTATCAAGAGATCTATTAGTTTTATTATGTGTGTTATTGTTTTAAGATTCTGAGCAAAACAAGACTGAGTATTGGCAATGATGTTTATTATTATTATTTTTTTATCTGTGAAAAACTTTTCTTCCGCCAATTTTGTTCCGATTTGCAATGATAGCACTTCTTTTGAAAGCAAATCTGGTTGGGGTAGTACTTTAAGGAGGTCTTTTTTTAATTTTTCCAGCTGTTTTTATAATAAATGGGAAAACCTGGAAAAATGGGAATATAGGTATATTATTAAACAAATATTATCAAAGAAAATATATAATGCATATTTAATTATTTTACCGTAATATGACATATATATTATTGACAAAACAATACTATATTAACTGAACTTCATTTATTTGAATCGTTTTTTCGTTAAAAACGGTTAATCGTTGCTAACAGATATACATTAAATTACCTATAACAGTGGCTGCACCGGTCCCTATTATCCTAGGACAGCAATTTTCAAATTACGGCGTTACGATTTCATTTTTTTTATTATTTTTTTTTATTATTACGGCTTATGTTTTCTACCATAAATATAGCTCCAATAGAAAAACATCAAGAGATCTTTCTTATTGAATTTTTAATCTTGTCGGTGACCAAAATAGTCGTTTTTTGATTTTCTTCGTATTGAATGGAAATTGTATAAATTATCTAAATTATCGCATTTCTAAACATGCTTAATCGAACTTCAGAACGGTTTTTCATTTGTAATGGTTAATCGTTGATTACAGATATAAATTAAACAACTTTATGTATCTCAACTTCCCCACTCCCCATCTACAACAGTTGCCGCACTCGTCCCCGGTATTGGCCCTTTTTTTTAGATTAATAATGCCTTTTTATTATTACAGGTTATTTTGTATCATGTGCTAGCATAGATATAAAAGTGGCGTTTTTTGTGGGTAAATGGTTCATGGTACCATTTCAAATGTGTTCGGGATTTTTTTTAAACGTCAGGTGAATAATAATTTAAAATATAATATAAATTATAGGTACCAACATTTTGTGCAATTTCGAATTATTTAAGTATAATGCTCTTTTTATATTGCCTTATGTACTTATATTGTAATTATATACCTAATTAAATAAATAGTAATTTGTTTTTAAAGTTCAATCCCGTATTACTTTCGATGGTTCAGTATTTTTTCGTGGTGCAAGTATACTTACGAAGGACTTCGTATTAACCAATGGTCGGACATCAAGTCGATCCAATGCAACAAAATCAATATGACTATGTGTTTACGTTCGGGTCACGATGTTTTAGAATCGGATGACATATTAGAGGTAAAACGACAAAAATCAATTAGTTGTATCTAAAATATTCACTCATATTTGGTGAAAATATATATATTAGACATCTTTCAGAAAATTATGAAAAGTTATTAGTTGTTTCTATAGGTACCTATATAATTATAAAATCTATATTTATTTTGACTTTATTAAAGAATAAAATATAATAGAATTAAAAACCCCATAGGCGTAATTTCGATAAAATTCGGGTGATGGGGGGGGGGGGTTTGAAAAACTGACATTTACGTACCTAAGTAATAAAATAACTAATAAATAAAAAAAAATCTAGAAGAAATGTATTTAATAATAAATAGATATTAACATAAACCCTAAGTAAAACCCATAATTAAAACTACTCACAATATGTGATCATTAGAGAACGGATTTATATGCACTTAAAATCCATAAAAAGTGCTTAAAACCATCAAAAAGGCCAAAAAAAATAATTTAAAAATATTTAAAAGAACAATAATGATAGAGGGGTTTAATATTCCTTCAATGTAGAACCATTAAAGGTGGGACTAAAACCACTCTACCACTTTTACTTTTTTTAATATTTTGAAGTACTTTTTTAACGATTTAAGCGCTTTTTTACTGTTTTTAAGTGCATATAAAGATTATTGATAGCATAGCAACAATTTTCGCGACCACGTAGTATCACCATTAATCAATTTTGTGGTAATTTCACTTATACGAAAAATGATAAGAAACGTTTTAGAAAACCCGACCCGGTCGCATATTAACAAACTGCATACGAAATAAAATACTACCCGACGTGGATTTGCTTAACAAATCAGGGTTTATTTTCGATTAGCGAGGATACAAAATTATAGTATTACACCCCACAAAAATTCAAGGGGGTACAGGCGCACCTTTTGTGCCCCCAAGATTATGCCCATGAAAAACCATTTAGTCTCTTGATCAAATTTCTATTATTATTTTTCAGGAGAACATTACCACGGATATAATTTCATTACTTTTGTTAATCATTGGCTTTCGATTTATGGCGTTTCTATCTCTCCTTATCAAAACGTCGAGGAAGTAAATTATTCAATGAATTAATAAAATATAATGTGTGTTTAATTAAGGGTGTTTTCGATTTGAATAATAAGTGCAAACATTTTGCACTCAGTTTGCATTGAGAGCTAAAGTATAATATTTGATTTAATCAAAACTCAATGGGTAGTGTTTCATAATCGATTTGGCGTACTGACCACGGTTATTTCACGGTTACTCAGTACTGTAGTTATTTACTCGAGAGATAATCGTGGTATTAACTAATCTAGAGCTCACGAGATGCATAACCAATTTTCACGGTGCACTAACAACTATGAATTCCATTTCTTCATCACGGGCGAAATAATTATTAATAATTACTTATTAATACTAACTACTAACTAATTACTAACTACTAGTAAATAACTATTATTAATATAAACATAGATAAATTATATTTTATAATATATATTAGATTTATTGTTTGATTAAAATTTAATTTCAAACTATGCTAAAGTCATTAATTATTTCATTAACCGTCCCGATAAAATGTTTGTAAATCTTCATAACAATAATAAGTATTATGTTTATATGATAGGTATACTGATCAGAATGATAAATGCATTAAATGAAACAAATATATTATTTAATATTAAAATGTTAACGTTGACATAGTATTTTTCGTATTCGATGATTAACATTGGCCAAAGGTCAACACAAAACTTATGTTCATGTTTTTGACTTAAATATTATGTAAAATATTTTAAGAAAACTATGATAATATTATTATAATATATTATATTACATTATAAATTATGCTTTTAGATTCTATGTGGAACGAGGAATATATTGGTTTTACTATTGATTTTAAATTGTGATTATTATAATATAATAATATTATAAAATATAAGATAAATGATTATTTGTTCATTATTGTTCCAATTTTATCCAATAACATCAAGTTAGTACTTTTTTGTTTTTGTTAGGAAGTATATTTATATTTATACTAGTTGTCCCATTTGTATGTATGCTAAATTTTAAAAAAATTCAACTAGGAAATGACGTTTTTCATTTTTACCCCTTTTATCCCTTTTAACACCTTTAGGGGTTGATTTTTGGAAAATCCTATCTTAGCTTTCTGCATGCCGAATTTCGGCCCGATTTCGCCATGTATTATTATGATATGATACACAATTTAATGAAATAATTAATTGTTGAATATTAGGTGAGAAAAACTCTTAATTATTATTTTAGTCACCAAATATCTCTATACCATGGCCTATCTGTATATTATAGAATCATTGGTTTTACCTTGTTTATTTTTTTTTTCTACTGAGTGATATTTTAGTCTTTATAGGGAGGTCATCTTTTTGATTTTCTCAGGGTTTATTATAATAAATGGGAAAAACAAGAAAGAAAATGAAAGAAAAACAGGAAAATTTACGAAATGTATTATTTTCTAATTGTAAAAATTACGGCCATTCAAAACATATACAACTGAACTCCGCTCAGAATCGTTTTTCGTTAGCAATAGTTAATCGTAGCATACAGATAAATATTAAATTATCTCCTACCTTTCTAACTTCTCACCTACAGCAGTGGCCCACCTATTATGCGAAGTATGTCCGTTTGTTTTTTGTCACTTATGTTTTCTCCTATAATATTACTGTTAATCAAAAAATGATAAAGAGACCTTTTTTGTTGAATTTTGAATTTAAATGCTCACTAAGAAAGTCATTTTTAGATTTTAAAAATAGTTATCATAATTATTGGGAAAAACCCATTAATATACGAAAAATTAAAACTGATAAATTTATGACGTCAAAATTTCTTTATCTTAACTTTTTTTATAAATCAAAATGTTATTATAATAGGTAAACAATCAAACATGAATTATTATTCTCATTTTAATTAGCGCACCTGAACAATATCGGTATAGATAAAAATAATACAGACCAGTATTTAAATATCTCTATCATAATATTTTTAAGGAGTTCAGCATAATATGCAAGTTTTGATAAATTATTCGTTTAAATCTTCTACTTCTCTTTTGCCTTCTATTTATAAAAAAAAAAAACTGTCATTGTAAAACCAATATATTACTCACTTCGTTCAGAATCTAAAAACATAATATATAATAATTATAAGGTCATTGATTTGCTTTTAAAATTAAATTATTCGCTAAAAAGTTTAAAATAAAAAATCAAATATTTCAATTTTATTTGGCACCTGTTGTAAACGAATCATTGCAGACAAATATTTAAAGATTTTTTCCAAAATTTGTGAATATTATGCAAGTATTTTGATAAATTATTATTTGTTGAATTTAATCATGAACATCTTCAGAACAATTTCAGAACATGTATTTTAATTTTATAATTTTTATATATCGTAAAGAAAACTGGGGTCGGTCAAAACATTTATTTTTTTTTAAATAAATAAATAAAAACAAGGGTTCATCGTTAAAATACGAATATCCATATTTTATATAACCCATTCTTCTCCAAAAAAAACAACTTTTGAATAGAGCAGCATAAATTAGAATTGCCTAAGGGGGAAAAAAACCTAAGGCCGGCCCTGGGACTAGCTTATAATAAATAATAGGTATAAATAAAATATACGACAAACTCATGTTACAAAATTAATTTCAGAAAATTTACCACACTAAATGAATGTTTACCAAAATTTTTGTAAAAAAGCGGTCATCATTTCTTTCGACATTTAAAATAAAAAAAAATACATGTATATTGATTTTTTTTTTAATTTAGATTTTTTTGGGTTTTCTATTATTTTAATAAAGTGTGTGTGTGTTTTCCTCAGAAAACACTTTTTTGGTTAGTATGAAATGCTCTTAATTTATCAGAAATATCAGAAATTCAAAATTAGAAATTTTCCTGAATGTCTAGTGAATTAGACTTGAGTAAGAAAGTAAGAAAAAATAATGTTTTAATTTTCAGAGTAGTTTTTAAACAAAACGGGGAAAACAAAGTAAATACGGTAGGTATATTTTACGGAAATAACATAATTTTCAGAATAATAAGTATTCTTTATTTAAATATTTAGGCCATTTCTAGACGAGGTTGAATTTTCAAAACATTCTTTCGATTTTTTAGCTATTTATTGGTGAATGACATTTTCAATTTTTTTATTTTTTATTTGGTAAATAATATGTAGATAGGATTGTTTGAATAAATAGAAATGTTTAAAAATTAACACGAGGCTTATTAAAGGTTGTATATAGGGGTAAAAAAAGTAATGTGTAATGTAATAATTTAGATTCTGAGTGGAGCGAAAAAGCTTATGGTTTTACAAAGATGTTTATTTATTATTAATTTTTTTTTCTGTAAAAAACTTATCTACCAGAAGACTTGGTCCGATTTTACGTGTAGCACCTTTTCTGAAATGAAATCGATGTGGAGAGGTACTTTAGGCAGATCATTTTTCGGTTTTCTCAAGAGTTTTCTCATCAAATACGAAAAATCGAAAAAAAAAAAAAACGAGAAAATGTACGAAAAATATTACTAAAATATTACGATTTTTTTTTTTGTGCACAACTTTTCTACCAGAAATTTAGCTCCAACTTTTAATAATAACAATATTTCTGAAAGGAAATTTCACTGGGAAGGTACTTTAGAAAGGTCTTTTTTCGATTTTCTCCGGAGTTTTCTCAGAAAATTTAAAAACTAGGAAAAAACAGAAAAACTGGGAAAAACGTTAGAAAACAGGGAACAACATTAAACAATTATTGTTAAAAAAATATATAGAGCCTACTTAATTATTTTACTATAATATTGCATATATAATATTAACAAAGCATTACTATCAACTGAACTCCGCTCAGAATCGTTTTTTCGTGAACAATGATTTATCGTTGCTTACGGTAAATATTAAATTGCCTATAACAGTGGCTGCATCCGTCCACATTATTCTAAGAATATTTTCTTTTCAATCTAAAAATATTATAATATTATATACAACCATTATTGATTTACTTTTTCAATACCCATTGCTATAATACGATAATATGAACTCATGAAAAAGAAAATCCTTGTTATGGGCCCTGACTAATGAAATTGAATAAATATTGTAATAGAATAACGATAATAGGTTATATTCATATTTGCAAAAACTTCAAAATATCGTTGAAAATAAAAGACTATACTTTAACAAAACAACAAAAGTTTCAACCACCAAACATTTTCTAAAAATCAATTTTACAAAATGACTATTTTGAATTTTTTTTAAAAATTATAGTAAAATTTAAAAGTCCCCCTAAAAAAAAAAAATGTTTATATATAAACTGTAGTACAGGGGCATAGATACTAATTATTTAAAAAATATATATATCAAAAATATTTAATAGAAAAAAAGTTATTTCATGTGGCAGATCATCGTGGGACTACTTCTTTGTATATCTACTATTATACTGAATAATATTAATATTGAAGTATGTGAGTACTTAGGTACATTTTTATAATATATATTAAATTATAACCTAACCTAATTCTTTTCGTTCTTATTAGGTATACATTTTATAGCTATTTTTTTTTCATGAGCAATGATTTATCGTTGCTTACGGTAAACATTAAATTGCCTATAACAGTGGCTATACCCGTTCACATTATTCTAAGACGTATTTTTTTATGTTTTTTAAAATTAAAATTTGAATGAAAATCGTAAAAATGATCGCATATTCTATACATGTTTAATTGAATTTTAGTATTATTTTTGATTTATAATGGTTTATCGTTAACGATAAATAGGTTTCCTACCTTTCTAATTTAACACTTACAATAGTAATACACATTTTCCTGATACAAACTCTTTTTTTAAATTGAATTTTCTTTCATGTATATATATAGAAAATAATTAAATGTTTCCAATCACTCCTTAATTGCTAGAAAAAAAACATCATTTGTTCAATTTTCAAAATATTCGATTTATAATTGTTATTATTTTAATAATTTTAATCTGATAGACATACATATCCGGTTAGTAGTTTGTTAATAATGACATTTAAAAAGTTAAGACGAAACCATACAAAATAAAAATGTTTAAAATTCTGGTAAATATTACTTTTTTAGATAAATTATAGGAAATAAAAAAAATTAAATATTGGAATGGCAACAAGTTTTCTGAAAAAATAACCACATGTAATATAACTTTACTACCTATTCGCTCGATTTAAAATAGATGGTAATATATTACATTTTTTTTCTACAAGGATTGGTTATCGATACCAAGGTATCACATTATAATTTATTAATTTATAATAGTTTTTAATTGACTACTATTGGTTTAATTTTAATAGTACCTGATAAAATATAACTTAAAATATTTTTTTTATTAATTCAAGCATAATTTTTATTTAACAGTTAATTTACTATATTCACTAGCCACTAAGTAATCGTATATTATACGTCCACATAACAATTTTATACATATAGTAAATAAACTGAGTTGTGCATGTTGGTAACGTTGCATTCATTTTTGTACGCAATCATTATATTTATAAGGGTCAGGTACAGAAATCGTAGGCAGTCATACAAATTTATGCAATCGGGCTACAAAAAGGGACAAACGTATGCAATCGTATATCACCGCTTTGATTGAAACATTCATGGACATTCAGCTAAATTTCATAGTATATAAACTAAATTACTCTATTTATTCTACCGTCTTAAATTCTCAACTACTAGTAGTTGATAATGATAGTTATTTTCTTTATTAATAAATTTTGCATATTATTTATTTCTTTTATTAAAATTGTAAGCAACTATTTATAATTTTGAATTTAATAACTAAAACAATGATTCTTTATATCAAAGTTTAAAGTGAAATTTATTAACATTAACGATTGCATATAATTAGATTAATAGGTCATCTAAAAAAAATTTAAAAAGTATTAACTTCAGCTACTCTATGATAAAATACCTAATTATTATCAAATAATAAAATTTAATGTATTTTAGTATTTATAGGTTAAGATAAATTTATTTAGACTTTGAAATTATTAATATCATAAGAAAAATAGTCTTAACGATATCTGTAAACGTTACTATAATTATGGTTTTTTTTTTATTGTATAAATAAAGTTTTATTATTATCTATAATATCAAATATACTACGGGACAAATATGGATATAGTTTACAATTACAATATATGTGTTATAGATTATTAGGTATGAGTAGTTATTATAGAACATATATTTATATGCCTATATAGATAGATACCTATATACTAAAAGATACACAAGACAAGACATTAAAACCATAATTTTAGAAATAACTTATTTATCTCTTAACATACTTTTCTCTTATGCAAGAAATTATAAAGTTAGAAATTGAAAAAATAAATGAATGTTATCTAAGAATAGTAGATAAACAAGCAGCTAAAAATGATGGAAGAAAATAGATGTAGGTATTTAATATAAATGTATATAATAATATGATTGTTATAACGGCATGTTATTATAATTTACCGGGTTTAAATTATTTTTAAAACTCAAGAAACAAATAGTTTTAAAATGTTACAATATCATTTTCTTAGTAACCCTTATTTTAAGTAGGGGGGGTAGTGAAACGACCATCTACTTTTGATTTTAAAATGGAAACCTAAATTGAAAATGCCTTAAATTTATGGAGTTTAAAATTTTGTTTTCCGTCAACCAGTTCATGAGATATTCCACTTTTAAGTTTTGGTGGAAGAAGAGTAGTGAAACACTATTAAAATACCACTTGTCGTGCTACTACACAAATTAAATATTTAATGAATCACTCTGTATACATATTTATATATATAAGAGACTACCTATAAAGATTATAATGTTTAGGAGGAAGAATAATGAAATGTTCGACCTTAAACTTAATGCACAGATATATATATCTTGTATGCACTAGTATACAGCGCAATAATATATGAATAATACTCATTTAAAAAATATTATAACCTGGATTATGGGTATGACAAGATTGTATAGGTATTATCTGATTATTCATGATGAATGACTATTAGATTATGGAATTATTATTATATTGTGATATTATTTAAATGATCAATAATATATTTAATGTTGCTACATTTCGTGTATTTATTAGAGCAAATCCTGTACCGTCAAATATCGTTCATAGTTTTTTAATAGGTTAAGTTAAGTTAGAAATGTTTAACATTTTATGATTTATGACATTATATTGATGCCATTAATTTTATTATGATATTTTTTTGTCATAAAAATTATAATTAGGGAGCAGATTATAATTAGGTATGTTTTAATACTAAGATGATGACTCTTAGTAGTTATAGAAAAACAAATTTGTTTTAATGATTTATACATCCTATTAATTTATTTGCGTTTAACTAGTAATAAATCATAATTAGGTACTTAGGTAAATCTGAGTATGGACACTATAAAATTTAACAAAGCGACATGCTAATATTATTCTAATACTTTATATAGGGTAGGATAGTTTGCCAATAAATATTTTTTCAGTGTACGTATGCCAATGGCATGGTGAGTATAGTTTGAAATGGACAATTGTCCACAGTTAATTATAGGGGGGAAAGGAAGCGGTCGTACATCCATACTTTAGGTTTCCTTTGGACTAGGTAAATTACATGCATATATTTTCTATGTGACTATGTTTAGTTAAGTAATACTTTACTGTACCTATTATAGTTATAGTAATAGATTTTACTTACTTGTACATAGAAAAAGACGTCCTAGGATAATGGGGACTGGTGCAGCCAATGTTATAGATAATTTAATGTAAGCAACGATTAAACTATTGCTTACGAAAAAACGATTCTGAGCGAAATTCAATTGATAGTGATGTATTGTTGACAAAGCACCACTATATTTTGTCAACAACATGTATGCCATACCATAGTAAAATAATTAAATAGAACCTATATATTTTCTTTAATAATATTTGTTTAATGTTGTACCGATTTCCCCGGTTTTTCTACGTTTTTCCTAGTTTTCCCATTTATTTTCCAATTGTTTATATTTGCTGAGAAAACTCCAGAGAAAATCGAAAAACGACCTTTCTAAAGTACCTCCACAATGAAATTTTCTTTTAGGAAAATCGCTATTTTAAAAAAAAAATAAACATCTTTGTAAAATTATAAGCTTCTTCGCTCCACTCAGAATCATAAAGTGGGTTAGATGTAGTATTTTGTTCAAATTTTGACGGAAATCATGAATATTACAACTTTTTAAAACATGTATAACAGAATTCCACATATCTAGTTACTGGTCCATACGAATGGGTGTTGTCTAAAATAAAAAAATGTTTGATTAAATTCACTAATCTTATTGTTATTGTTACGGTTAGCTCAGAAATGAAATTAATTTTTCATTCTGACTTTTTCATTATTCACAAATTGAGTTTAAAAATCAATAAATTGAAAAGTATTCAAAACAATCAGTATTGGTGAGAATCAAATGTGTCTTATCTGGGGTCAGGTTTAGTGAGTTATCTATGATTACTACTGTGACTGAAATCACGCTTTATCGTGTATCTCAGATTGATAACGTTATTAACACGCCCTTATCAGTATGGCAACCTCAGTATACCTGATGTTTAGTAAGACACATTTCAATTCGCGCCAAAACTGATCTTTTTAAACTAGTTAAATTTTTAAAAATGAAGTCCTAAAATTATGAAGAAAAAAAAGCTATTTTTTCAATCAGACAAAACTATAGGAAAAATGCATTTGAAAAATGTTGACAACCCACATTGTTTAAATATATATTCATTTTGTTATAATATTACATATTATATATTGTTGAAAAATAGAGCTCCACTTAGAATCGTTTTTCATTAGCAATGATTAATCGTTGTGTACAGATATACATCAAATTCCCCCCATATCCGATCTTCAAAACTTCTCACCCACAACAGTGGCCCACCCATCGTGCGAAGTAGGTCCGTCTTTTTTTTTATATAAAATTTTTGTTTTTAAATTATTTTATTTTTAAAATACCTTGTCATATCTACTACTCTTTTTATTTTAGACTTAATACTAAAAAACCACTATTTTTTAGATTCTAAGTGTAACGAAGAATGTATTGGTTTTACTAAGATGTATATTTTTCTAATTTGTTTATCCTGTGCATAGGGGCCCGCCAGGGGGGGGGGCAAGATGAGGCACTTACCCCCCTGGTATTTTGATAATATTGTATTGTATAATATATTAATTTTAGTATATTTTTATTTGAAATTGAAATGTATTATACTTAACCTATGTATATACATTATACTGAAATACGTATACAACTATACTGCTTATACGAGTAAACCAGTTTATCATAGGGCCGTCGATAAAAATATGATTATTTTATCTAAAATATAAGTTAAATGAGTTAACCCAATATTCACTATTATATTTTATGGATTGCAATCCGATATCTGAAATATTTATTGACTATTGTCATACGTTTAAGTATTATGACACTCGGAGCAAGTTGTTTTTTTTTACGTTAGTTGCGCTAGTTTACCACGATATATGTATGTATATTAGTTAAACAATTTTAATTTTAATATCAAAATATCATTTGTGGTAAGTATAATAATATTAATATTATTTCTGTAATGATAAAGTATTTATAATAATAGTTGATTTTTTAAGAAAATGAACTTTAGAAGATATTTTAAAAAACCACGTTTGTAAATGAAATCAGATCAGACTAATTTTGAACTGAATGAAAAAAATATTAAAACTAATCCAACAGTTGCTGTTATCTATGAAGCAACTTTCAGAAATTTCAGAAAAATATGGCTGTTTTTTAGAAAATATTTTATCTGAATGTAGTTACCATAAACATAAGACAAATACAGAAATTAAAAATTCAGAAGAGGTTTTAGATTTATTAATAGAAACAAAATTACTTTATCCATCAATATTCTCAAAAATATATATAAGTCTTACAGTTCCTAAAACTACTTGGACTGCCAAACGATCCTTCAGCACGATGCGAAGGGTAAAATCATGGCTGCGCTCAACTATGACAATTTTTGAGCTGTTTATAGGCATTTTAATTTTACTAGTTTTATACGTAATATTTATTTGGTAGGTACTTTAAGGTAAAATTGTTAGACTTGAACAGAAATGCTTCAAAATTTAACAGTAGGTTCATTAAGAGTCTTACTTTATAGAAAAAAAAAATTAGTTTAATGTAGTATTTTTTTTTTTTATAAGGGAATTATAATATACAATTTTTAAAAACAAATTATGTGGAACAAATCTAATTTTTCAATTTTTTTTTTTTTTTTTGAACATATGTATATTGCCTATTTAAGAACGATGGTGAAGTCAGAATTAAACGGACAGACTAAGTTTCGAATTTATAGCTTTATGAAGTTCTGATATTATGTGAATATTGTGTGTTATGTTAAATAACTCAATATTGTCCTCCTTAAAGTATATCTACGTGATCTAATGGTTATTTGTCATCCTAGTGGTTCCGAGTTCAAACCAGTGTAACAAAAAAAATTGTTCTAGTAATCTTGCTACGAATATATACGCATAGCACAATGTCCAAATGGTACTTTTGGGGGGGGGGGTCAAAAAAGATCATTATTATACTTTTAAAAATATATGGTATTTGTAAGAACTTCGGTCTTGTTATCTTTACATGAAAAATATAAAACATTGTTATTAGTAATAAAAAAAATTGTCAACTGTCAGTAAAAAAGCATCATAGATTAGCATAGATAGCAACATTTAGAAATTGATTTTTCCACAGAAGATAGAAAGTTAAACATAAAATTATTTTGATGAACCAATGCAGTTCTTGATTTAAAATTAATCAAAGTAACTTCTGCTCTATTGCAATAATAAACAATATTTCCTTTCAGAAATAATGCCACATGAACATATCGGGATAAGATTTCTGGTAGAAATTGGTGTCAGTATAAAAAATAGTAATAATAAACATCTTTTTAAAACCAATACAATCTTCGCTACACTGAGAATCTAAAAAATTATGTCAAATAATATATTGATTAATATATCTATTATACCTGCTTTTGAACCAATGACTATGCCAAATGATAATGTAAGTCCACTTCTCTCGAGAGGGGGGTAAGGTGATCGCTCCCATCGCCCCCTAGGGACGTGTATAGATAATCACGAATTAAGAAAAAATTGCATGGTAACCAAACGTTACCCTTTCAAAAGTACACGGTTTCTTCTTAGTTCTGTAGTAAAAACACATCATCGCGTGTCGTTACTCATTTTGGGATACCTAGTGTATAGATAGCGCTCAATACCTTGTACTTTAGAAAGGGAAACATTTGATAATCAGCATCACTTGGTTGAATCATGAAAAAATTTTTAATTCTGAGTGTAACGAAGAATGTATTGGTTTTACAAAGTTTTTTTTTATATTGTGTACAAAACTTCTACTAATAATCTTGTTCCAATGTATCAGTGTAGCTTATTTTCTGAAAGGAAATTTCATCTCCATGGTAATTTAGGGAAGTCGTTTATTGATTTTTCAAGTGGTTTTCATAATATTTAGTAAAAACCGGGATAAAATGTCGAAAAATATACGATATTTAAGTATTAGTAAAAAAATATTATGGCCTTTTTTTCTGTGTATAACTTTTCTACCAGCAATTTCGCTTCGATTTAAAATTATAGCACTTTTTCCTAATGGAAATCTGATTGAGATTTTAATTGTATTTTCTTAAACAACATTTTTTTCTGATAATTTAAATTATTATTATATAATTTCTTGAACTTATATAGGCAACCTCTTTTTATAATTTACCTATTTTTATTTTTGAAGAATTATCTCTCGTTTAGCCTCATAATATATTAATTAGTATG